TTGTCAACTGTATAATGAGTATAATGACAGAACCTACCTTTTGGATTATTGTATTAAAATATTTCGTGTAATGCGTGGCAAATGAAGACTTGATGTATTGATGATTATTAGTATCATCCCTCATTTATTCTTTTCCTCAGTGACATTCCCATTATTTTCTACTCATGAAGACCTACTGGACTTTTCCACAGAGTGATGACCATGAAAATATGCCTCAGAATTTTCCCACTTCAAGGAGCTTAATTGTCCAGTTCTAGTCCAGAGTTCTTATTAATAATACATCCAGCTGGATGCTGACAAATTCAGCTTTTAGGAGAGACCATTGGGTCTTGGACCACTCCAAAAGGTCTAAATAGCTTTTGTTGGGGAAACAATCTTATTTTCCATGCATAGTTATAACAGTAGGAAGAAAAGGGTTAAAAGAAGCTAAAAAAGCTATTCCCATGGGGATGTCCACAACAATTGGTGGCAGCTGGGAGATACACAGGAGGAAGCTGGGGGTGGGATTCTCTGTGAAAGTCATCAGGAGAGCAGCGTCTTGGCTCCAGTCTTGCAAGAGAATGGAGCTCAGAACCACAGAGCAGAGGATCCCTTTGTCTGGAAGTTTGTTCTGAACTTTGAGACACCAGATTAAAAATAAACAAGTCCCACTCAGAAACAGGCAAATGCTACTGGGTTTTGGAAAACCATGAGGCAAAATCATCGGGGTACAAATTTCCTAACTTCTCCGAGGGGAAAGAAGAAGGCTTTTGGGGCCACCTTCACCATTGGCCATGGCCTCACTTCTCCCAGGTGGTGGCTCCCCGCTAAACTTCTCTATACAGAGCTGCCATCTTTCCTGACTTCCTTTCCCTAACCAGGGTCATCTCTAGCCCTCCTCCTCACTCTGTCCCCACCCTCATTGCCATTATTGACTAATGCATCCCAAGCCCCCAGCTGTTCTCTCCACATAGCTTTTTCTCATTCCCATCCAGCTGTATCCTAACTTCCCTCTGCCACACCAGCCTGCCTCTCTCTTCAGCCCACTCCTGTGCTCTCCTGTTCGTTTATGAATAACCGCTCATCATCCTCTTCTCAAGTACCAAATCCTTCTGGTCTATAAGGTGTGGGGATAGTGGGAAGGGGTGCTTGTGATCCTGTACTTGCTACTTACTATCCCTAGGCTATTTAAAGATCTCACCAAGAGTGAGTACTTTTCTTTTTATTTTTTGAAAAATAATATATAGTTGTTAACTACATAAGATGGGTCTACATATGGCAGTGGGA